AGAATTCAAGTAATGAACAGTTGAAGTTTCCATCTTGAAGAATCTGTTCTGCCAAGTCAGCACTGGCCTTGATAAATAGCAAATCAGACTGATGCATGCAAGTGTATACACACATGCTCAAGTTAAACTTCAGGGAAAATACTTGAACAGATCTCTGCATAGACAGATTTCTATAAGTAATTTGTAATTAGGCTTTATACAGCACAGACCGGCTCAAACAGGTCAAAACACAGAAAGTGCAGACATGGTAGTATCCTTACCTGTTGCTGCAAACAAACTTTTTCAGAGGTTATTTGTGGGTAAGTCTACATACCTTCGTTTAGTGTCACAAACCTTCACTGCTATTATTTCTTACTCATCTTACAGTGGAAGGAAAATATGTTTAGCTAAAGGATAAAAACAAACCACAAGTACAACTGCATCTGGGTGCTTTTAGTATCTCAGCAAACTTCAAACATAACTTTAACAGTTTTGCCTTATTTTTAATTGTGCAGAAGAAAAACTTGAGTACACCACTCATAAAGTCTGTACCCAGCTTTGCAATGGTGAGTCTCCCTTGGCCTGTAGAATATAGGAATTGTTTGTTTTGCAACAAACTGTCAAATCCAGTTCTCTGATGCTGGAGTCACCCTATTGAGGATGCTTCTACCTGACATGATGTTACATTTCAATTCCAGTAACAAGAAATTCCAAACTGATTCAGGAATTCACTCTTGGCAGTGTGGCAAAGAAATCCTGAGGGACTCCACTGGGAATGGGAAGGTTTTACACAACTGTCCTAGGCCATACAGGGTGGTTGGCAAAATGAAAACTCGCTTTGTGTACATGCTTCACAACAGAGCCTTGTACAAAGGAGAATTAGAGATATTTTCCTCATTGTAAGATTTGCACACCAGAGCAGAAAGATAGAACTGGATGACTACTGAGCCATCTTTCAGTAAGATCTTCATTCAGCTAAGAAGGGAAAGAAGTCAAGATGAAGGGAGTTCTTACTTCAAACGCAAGTCTGACTCAATTAAGGAAGTGCCATTTGTTATTTCAGGAGGAATATCTTTTTCTCTGCAGGGTCTGGCACTAAAGTGAAATGAAAATCTGCATAAGCAGAGGGAACACCTCTGTAAGCTAATCCTGAAATAACAACAGGTAAAGGTACACTGCAATTGACTATCATTTCATGATTTTCCAATTAACTTTAGCAGAAAGTCACCCTGCTACATTCCTCATTGTGGCGGTGCTGTATTATATAGCTCGAGCGGCATTCACGAAGCCTGTCATGAGTTAAGATGGCACCTCAGGGCTAGTGCAATCCTGGTTTTAGTGGAAAATTAGAATAAGAAAAATAACGACTTTCTTGACATGAAATTATGGTACTGGCTCTCCTTCAAAAGTCTAAAGTAAGAAAAGAAACCGTTTCTTCCCTTGGGGACATGGACTCTAATGAGTGGCCGGAAGTACAGCTAGCCACTGATTTTTCAAGAAGAAAGTTTATTTTCACTTTTCTGGTAAGTTTACAAAAAAAAGAGGGGTGAGCATCTGCTGAGAACAACTTCTGAATGTGCTAAAAGCTCCTGAAATCATTACCAGCCACCTTCCTACTGCTCCAGCTCTGGCTCAGTTCAGCTGAGGTCTTCAGGTTTCCCTCACCTCACCATTATGAAACAACTTGTGAACGTCTTTCCACTCCTCCCCTGCCCCCACAAACAATGCACGTGCAGGTCCCCATCAACTCTGGCCCTTCTCCTCCCCACCAGGAACACAAGTACCTTCTCTAAGAGGTGTGTCTGGCAGAGACAAGGAGTTGGGAAACCATGGAGCCTGTCTCCATCTCGTCCCCCCTCGCACCCATCCCGAACACCTTTGCTCCCAACCCCTCTCCCACAAGGCAGTGCTGTGCTCCACTGCTGCCAAGCTCCCAACTGCCTGGGACTTGACATTTGTTCTTGTTTTCTCCTGTCTCCCCTCATGGGTATAGCACTACTAAGTGAACAGGAATGCACGGAACAAGAGAGTTCAAAGTAATTGAGGTACATTCATTCAGAAAGCCTGGATCCCTGCCCGCTCAGAACCTGCAGCTTTTACATAGTTTCAGAAAGTTTAACCCCTTTTTTATGGAACCTGGTAATGCTCTTTCAAGCACAGAGCATTGCACTGCTCTTATCAGTGACCAAAGACACTGCAAGGTGTCTTTCACATATCCAGCTCAAGGTGCTTATCTCTCAGTGTTCTATTCCCCTCTTTGCTCTACGGACAGTGACTAAAGAACTTGTCATTTTTATGATGCTCAGAGAGCTGTGTTGCAGAGGAATGATCACTTACCGTAGCTCCCAAACATGCCTGACAAAAGTCTTATGCAAACAGAACTGTGCCAGGTTTTAAAGAGCTTACTTGGTTTTCTGCTGCAGAAAGGTGTAATCTCACTTTTAACTCTGCAAAATCAGTGAAGAAACAGAAACGTTCCAAATAATTATAACTAAGCTCTTTCCCCCCCCCCCCCCGATGATTAATTCTGAACAAACTCTCATTTCAATTTAATTCAGGAGATGACATTAGTTGGCAGCTTATTACTGACCTTAAATTTGTAAATAAAAATTATTTGTTCAAGGAAGTACAAAATCTAACAATGGAAATTCTTAAAATAGGCTATCAAGTAATTTTTCTGTCTGGATCTAACCATGCATTTAGACTATCTGTAAGCTTCAATAGTGCTGCACTCTGTAGGTTAGATAAGCAGAGAAACTGATCAGGAACAAGAGTTGATCTGACTTGCCTGTTTAATTGTTAGTGATAATAGAAATGCCTAAATAAAAAAAAATAATCACCTTTTAAAAATTATATAGTCTTCAGTAATCTTCCATTGACCGTTGCTTGACGAAAGACTGTAGGGCCCATCATTAGCACAAAAACATAGCAATGGGGTTGCATTTATTTACCTGCAGTTCAGACCTAATTATATCCTTTTAAAAAACATTAGAACACATTCAGAGCTGCTTCTGAAAATGTTTAAGTATGCACAAAGCTTTACTCAGTGATACTGTTTTAATTAACCTGCCAAAGTGCTTGCCAGAGCTGTCCCTTTATAAATCCACATATATAAAACAAAAAGAAAATGATTTTGAAAAGATCATTCATTTAATCAGATGGAGGTAGAGCATGTAATTAAAGCATGCAAGTCCCAGAAACATTTCAGTTACTACAGCCATACAATTTAGCCTAGCTCTATTGTGCCTCATATAGAAGAATTACAGCCAAATTATTCTCCAGACAGTGTAGTGCTGTGTTGCTAGTTTTGCATTTTTAAAGCTGTTTGAGCAGTTTATACTAAATGTATCGTTTCAGACGGTCAAAAGCACAGTTCAAATCCTAACTGGGTCGAAACAGGGAACATGAAGGGCATTCAAAAACCCCTAAACTAGGGCTATGTGAAGGGCATTCACATAGAAACAAAAGATGATTTTAAAATCTGCTGGTTAAACCACCTGTTTCTAGGCTAGAATGGGTAAAGAAACGTCAGCCACAGCCCTCGGAAAAAGTCACTGAAGTCGCATGTTGTCTAAACGTGTTAGTGTTGGATGGAAATCCGCCTGCGTGACTTAAAATGCTACGCTGACGGGAGTAGCCGGATCTATGTTAGCAATAACAAGCATCAAGCGGCTACGTACTGCTAAACAGACAGTTTGTGTAAAGAAATGTTATGCCGATTTCTTTCCTGGTTCTGTAATTAGCTCTCTGCATACAGGCTCTGAGACGTTCTCACTGTGGACTGTAAAGCGAAGGGGAGGAGTGGCAGGTTGACCAGTAAAGTGCTTTTTCACATCTAAAAAACCAGCCTTCTCTGTAATTGATAGGGGATAAATTCGTGGAGGGGGAGGTCGCCAACACCTCTATGGATTCACAAACCTTCTCCCAGCGCTGCAAGGTTTGCAGGGCCAGGAGAAAGGTGGAAAGTTTGTTTTTTTTTCCAAGGCTCCGCTACGTGTTGCACTTTTCCCATACGATGTGAGCCCTTTCGTGTTGCACTAGAGGATGGCGTCCCTCCCTTTTCTCCTCCTTCAGTGAAACATGCAGGAGCTTAACTCACCGTCCTGTGTCTTATGGGAAAATACGCTCTGCGTCGAAACCACACCTCAAAACAAGTAAATAGAAACTTGTCTCATCGGGGGGGGGGGGGGGGGGGGGAGAGAGAGGAGGAACCGGGACGGGACGGTGGGGTGGGGAGACAATCGTCGCTCTTTTCCTCTCCCCTTCTTCCTCCTCCTCCGAGCTACTTCTGTAACAGCATTTCCCCGGCGTACGGTGAAGATGTATATTACAGCACCGAAGTGTATTAGCAGCAGGTTTTGGAGTACGAGTTGCCTTCGGGACAGAAAATAATAAATTTGAATGACTGCCTCTAAACCCCTTTTGAAGATGAAAGGCAGGGCAGACGGTTATTTTCCAATGTCTGCATTTAGCAGCGCTTCTTTATAAATAATAGTAAAGCACGAGAGGGGCCACGGCAGACCGCCGCACTTGTTGAAAACCTTCTTTCACTTCGCTGCGAGCACCAAGCCGTCCGTCCCTCCCCGTACTGAGCCCTGCCTGTTCAGCGCACAGGCACAGCGCCGGCGGCAGCACCGATGCTGACCGCCGGGACCGGGGACGGGCCGAGGAACGGTACCAGCCACCCTACCCGGCCACCGCCGCGCTTCCCCAGTCCGGGCACTCCACGGCGGGCCAGAGCGGGCGCGGTGCGGGGAGGAGCCGCCCGCGCTCCCCGTAGGCAGGGCATCTCGCAGGGCCGGCCCCCTTCGTCGGGCTGGGTGGGGTGTAGGGGGGGCCGGGGGTGGAGTAGGGTGAAATAGAGGCGGGCGTGTGTCACCGGGTAGATACCCACGACCAGGTACAGGCGGAGGCACTGACGACACTGGAGTGGCTGCGCGCTCGGGCTGGGGCTCCTTGGGAGTGAGCGCACGAGTAGCCACCGCCCGCCCGCCCGCCCGCCCGCCCGCCTGCCTGCCCGCCCGGAGCCGCCCGCGGGCAGTTCCCCTGCGCCGGGGCGGGCAGCCCGTCCGCACCGCACCCGCCGCCTCCTGCAGCCCTCCTCATGGCTACCAGGGTGCTGACCATGAGCGCGCGCCTGGGTCCCGCGCAGCAGCCCGAGGAGCCGGTGTTCGCGCAGCTCAAGCCCGTGCTGGGGGCCAGGGACGCAGCGATCTTCCCCGGGGACGACCTCAAGCAGCAGCAGCAGCCACCGCCGCCGCCTCAGCAGCAACCGCCACAGCAGCAGCAGCACGCGGGGGGCGGTGGCGGCGGTGCGACCCTGCCAGCGGAGGAGATGGTACAGGTAGGCGGTGGGCACCCCCCTCACGGCCCACCGGCCGTCGCCCGGGCGGGCGGGGAGTGGCCGTGAGGAACGGACGGGCGGGCGAGATTGGGTGGGGCCGCGGTGCGGGGCGAGGGCAGCGGACCCCGACGTGCCAGTCTGAGGCGGCGGGTGTGGGAGGGGGGGGGCGGCCGCCGCCGCCCAGCTCGCCTGCGCGGAGCAGAGAGCGCTCCCGCCTTCCCGCCGGCGGAGCCCGGTGAGGCGGCCGGGGCTGAGGCGGGGCGCGGGCTCCCGGCCGGCTGACGGGGCGCTGGGGGGAGCGGGGCTGCCCCCGCCGGTGTGTTGAAAGCCGCAGCTGCTGCCTGCTTGCTTGCCCGGCGGCGGGATTAGAACGGCCGCCTGTCCCCTCGCCCACGCTAGGAGTCATGTTCAGGGGGGGACGGGGACAGGGCACACCGGGCGAGAAGGGACTTCCCGGGACTTTCTGCCCGTCCCGGCAGCGGATCCACCGGCAAACAGCTGGAGGAGCTAACAGGGTAAGGCGGCGTCCGTAGCCCCGCGGAGGGTGCTCGCTGAGAAGCGGTACCCGGCAGGCTGCGGCCGTGAGGAGACACGGACCTGGCGCTGCGGGGTGTCAGCCTTGTCCCTGGGAAGGGGCGTCCCGGGAATCCCCCGGTGCCGGGCAGCGGCCTGACGGGAGCTGCGTTTCGGTGGTGCCTTCCCCAGTGAATAAATAAGTCTTCAAAGCGAGCTGCCCTCAGCTCGTAAACAAGGGCTGGAAAAAGTAGCCTGGCATGTCGGGGCAGATCCAGATCAAAGGGACGGGAAAGGCGGCTCTGTTTGTTTGTGGTGTTTACCGGGGGTCTTTGAAGAAAGATCCTAAAAATCCACTTTCTGGCAAAGTTGCTGTTTGTCAGCTGCTTTCTCCTGCGGGGCGCTAAACGGGTCTGGTATGAGCGCTCTCTTGACAGGGCAGGGGGGAATGTAGCATTTGCCCACTGGAGAGTGCGTGATAAATGCTTTGCCGATGACTGTACCAGCAGTGGATCGGGCTCCAGCCACCCACGGATTCCCTCGCACCACTACGCTAAGGGAATCATTTCCCAGTAATTAAAGAGCTCTCCTAGGACCGAGGCATGGATAGAGACATGTTTATCACGCTGTTGACCAATTATACACTGCATAGATTACTATTTTATTTAAAGTATAGTGCTGGAGACACTTCACACAACGAGTACTCTGAGGCAGTCAACCCGTCCTCTTTTTATTTGGCATTATTTATAACTTTAACATTTTGGTGTCGTATTTTTAATCAAATGCCTTTGGTTAAAAAGTGATGATATATTGGAAGTATATATAGAAAAAACCCCAAACCATTATTTGAAGTGTTAGCATTCAGATAACCAGCTGAGGATGTGGCTTTCAGAGTTAGCATTTCAAAGAGAATCGGGTGAAACAGATAGGCAGTCACCCTGCTCCAGCAGTGAATTCCAGAGCAGGAGATCTGCAGATTAGGGCAGAGTGCCTGTCATTTCTGCACCTCGTGCTGTCTGGTAGGCATAAAAGATGGAAAGTTTGCCGTGCGCTGAAATCTAGGGTCGCTCTTCGTGCTTGCTGTGCATGAATGACTCAACGCCATGGCTTTTTCTCCTTGTCCTTGATGTTGATTATCACGCCGATTATAAAAGACAGGTTTTCATTAGCGTGAATGTTTATAGCTTCCTCCATAGGTAGCTTGCGGCCAGCTGAACAGTATTGCTTTTTATTTGCAAAGCCTCACGTGACTTGCATGCCATTATCTTTCTCAGATGGTAACAAATCATGTGGATTATGGTCTGTTTTGTTTTTGTAGACAAGATGTGAAATGGAGAAATACCTGGCACCTCAGCTCCCGCCTGTCCCCGTCATCCCCGAGCATAAGAAATACAGAAGAGACAGTGCCTCGGTTGTAGACCAGTTTTTCACTGACAGTGAAGGGTTGCCTTACAGCATCAACATGAACGTCTTCCTCCCCGACATCAGCCACCTGAGAACCGGCCTGTACAAATCCCAGCGACCTTGTGTAACCCACATCAAGACAGAGCCAGTCGCCGTCTTCAGTCACCAGAGCGAAACTACTGCCCCTGCCCCCCCCACTCAGGCCCTCCCCGAATTTACCAGCATCTTCAGCTCCCACCAGACCCCTGATGTGAACAACATTTTCATCAAGCAGGAGCTTCCTACTCCAGACGTTCATCTTTCTGTCACACCCCAGCAAGGCCAGTTGTATCAGCTCCTGAGCTCACCGGATTTAGATATGCCCAACACTACTACTCAGGCAGCCGTGATGGACTCCCTTAACAATGTCTCCATGCCATCAGCTATGACGGGCCTTAACACGCTCTCCTCGGCTGTTCCACAGACTGCGATGAAACAGTTCCAGGGCATTCCCCCCTGCACCTACACCATGCCAAACCAGTTTCTGCAGCAGCAGGCCACTTATTTCCCTCCTTCCCCTCCAAGCTCTGAGCCTGGAAGTCCAGACAGACAAGCAGAGATGCTGCAGAATTTAACCCCTCCTCCGTCATACGCCGCAACTATAGCTTCCAAGCTGGCAATTCACAATCCGAATTTACCAGCAGCTTTGCCCATAACCCCCCAGAACATCCAACCAGTCAGATACAACAGGAGAAGTAACCCAGATTTGGAGAAAAGACGTATCCACTACTGTGACTATCCCGGTAAGCGATCTGTGTCAGAAAATACCAGCTCTTGCAATAATAAAACGCGGGAATAATTGTGGATGGGGTATAAGTGGTTTTTCTTTAGCTGTAGTCTGCACCTAGGAAGAATCAAACATTTCCTTGCCAAAGTAGAATTTCTCTATTATAGTTTTATTTTGTGTAGCACATGTTCACATGGTTTAAATAATATACACCCTTCATGTCATTTATAATTCTCTTAAATACCTGAGCTTATTTTACCATGGTATGAAAATTGTACTCTGTAGGGAAAAAAAACTCAAACAATAAAAATGATGACCTCCTGTAATGTAAGTCAGTGTGACCATGCAGCTCCTGCCTGCACTTTCCTAATGCCCATGATGAAGCAGAGGCTGACTTTGTCCAACGCATCACAGCTCAGTTAGATTCTGCTCACGCTGAAAGAGCCATTTCAGCTCCCAGTAGCCGAGGCCATGGCCATTTCTTCCGTTTTACAAATGGGATTCAGCTGCCCACATAAATCCATTAAAGCTGTCTCTGAAAATTGTCCACAGACGGATTCCTTTCCATACTTTTCTGTGTTGAAGGAAAGATGGACCTGGCTATAAACTGTGCTGCCATGTAGTACGTGATCCCAGATACAAGATGCTCATGCCCATCCGAGTAAAGAGAAAAGCTGCTGCTTGTGTCTTACCTCCCCCTTTACCAACATAACTCTCAGTGAGGTATTACCCATTCAGTGTGCCTTGTGATAAATGCTCAGTGGGAGAGTGTTGCTGAACCCTGGGTGACAGTGGCTCCAAGTCTGGTTTGCTGAAATCCGTTAGGAAATATTTAAAAAACAAAGTTCTACTCTGAGTTTTTAACTTACCTAGCAGGTGTTACAGTACGTAGACTGTAGCAGCTGTTGGTCTACCCTACATTACAAGGTAGTAAGTCTACCAGAAACACGCGTTTTTCTCATAGAGCAACGTAGCCCTAGGAGCTTTCTGTATCAAATCTTAATTCTAAACAATGATGGTGCCATAAGGTGCTAAACTTAACCAGCTAGTACCCCAGCACCTAAATGTAACATGGAGTGTTAATGTTCTCCCTGCTGAAATATCTCTCTGCTTTTTTGTTTTGTCTTGTAGGCTGCACAAAAGTTTATACGAAGTCTTCGCACTTAAAAGCGCACCTGAGAACTCACACGGGTACGTACTCACTATATCTCATGGTCTCTTGTTCATTCATGGCTTACACATTTTCTGAGAAAGTAAGCATGTTTGATCTGCCATCTTCTCCCTGCTTTCTGTGGAGTGCTGTGGGTTCAGGCTGGCTGTTCAGTTAAGAAAAATTTTAGGGTTCGGTCAATGAGAAGAAAAATTGCTTTTATTCTTACTGCAGTTTACTTAAACCTTTTATAATACAGAACATAAAATAGGTAAGAATAAAACAGATGAAGCTTTCCTTTTCAATATAAAATGTTACCAAAAAGGATTTTTTTCCCCTGAATAATGAATTAATCATAGCGAACACATTAGAATTTTCAAGACTCATTTAAATAGGTAGAATTTTCTGGCTTGGGCTTTTTCTTTGACCTGTTAGAATTATTTAGTCGTAGATTTTTTTTTTTCAGAAATGTCATGAAAATTCCCAAGATATTTCTGTTTCCTTAGCTAAGTGTGCATTTTTTTTTTAAGTCAGATAATTCTATATATTTATTTTTCAAAAAGAGACTTAATTTGTTGTCAGTGAAAGACATTAAAATGGAGGAAATTTAAAGTGTCAGTGTGTCACGCTTGGTTTTTCTACCTCAATCAAATTCTGCCAGCAGCTACAGAGGCAGTCCCTGTTGGTGGGCCTACATGGAGCAGAGCTGGGTACAGTGTTGCTTGTGCGTGGGTGCAGGAGCCATACAGACAGAGGACAGGGTTGGAAGGTGGAACCTCCTGCCCTAGGTGCTTTTCCAAAGCATTCACCTGCTAAGGCAGGGGGAAGGAGGAGGGAAATGGGAGAAAAACGTAGCTCACCAACAACGTACCTGTAACTATTTAGGACAGTTCTTAGCTGGGATGTTTGTACAGAACTGCTCATGCTAAATCCGTGAATGCACATGACTGATCTCGTAAATAAATGAGAGAGCTGCGACTCCTGTTTTTAAAACAAAGAGTGAACCCCACCTCTTCTCTGTGTGGACCTTGATTCAGAGCAAAACACGAGGCACAGTTGAAGCAACTTGTTTATTGAGGCAGGCTGTCGGCGCTGCAGCTGTGCCGTTCAAGTAATGGGGTTTCACCTAAGTTTAAATCGTAAGTCAGAACAAAACTTAACATGAGCTATGATCTAACAAAATGTTTCGCTATCTCTATGGAAACAAGGCGTTCTATTCAGCAGCTATTTTGAATGGATCGTTGGATTATCGTAAAGAAATTGCGTATCTCCAGGCTAAATGTTACTATAGAAATTTTGTTTTGATAAATGAAGGAGTTATCTGTGCTGCAGTCACAGTCAAAAATACAAGCAATGGTACAAATGTTATTGCCTTGCATTAGTAATAGACTAAGCAAGAACACTGTTAAAAATATTTTAGATACATGTAGTCACTCCTTAGACATAAACTCAGTACGAAGGGAATATTTTCATGAGGCTCTAGACTTGAATAATCTCGGAGAGTATAATCCTGTTGCTCTTTAATAAATAATCTTTAAATTTAAGGGTGTGTGATTTCCCCTTGCGCACTTTAGCCAGCAACTAAATACCAGCTTTAAATATCTCACTTGCTATTAACACGATAACTAGGAAGAGAGATAAAAGCAAAGCTTTAGTCCAAGTATGAACAATTATATAGTCAGCATTTCAAATGTACTCATTTGCTTTTTAAAATCAGTTTATATCTTTTTTTTGTTTGGTAATGACTGTAGGGTGTATAAACTTAATACCTGTGTGCACAAAAATACAGACCATGTTGCTAACATATATTGCTTAGGGTCACTAATGTTTATTGTTTCCTTCACTTTTTTACCTGTAGATATTTGACCTTAGAAATGTGGATGAATGTGCAGAGGTCAGAGGAGCTGATGTATTCATGGAAACAAGAATGTTGTTTTAGATAAAAATCTAGTGAACTTAAGCAGGTCTGTTAACACAAAGGGTCTTCTGGGGAGGTGAATGAAGGGATAAACTGTCTAAGGTGTGCATTACATGCAAGAATGTGAGTCTGTATCTTGTTACCTGCATTATTTCACAGTTTGCATTAGTTTAACTCTCTTGAATATTCAGTTAATACTTGAAGATTTCCAGCAGCAATTCTGATCTCTGCTTTAACATACGGTTGAAATGTATATTACGGGGAAGATCTCTGACTTACCCAGTACTGTAAATCCATTAAGTGAACGTTAAAGTAAATGAGTGCAAACTCGGGGAAACCTGTGAAGTTGCATAGCTCCCCCAGGAGCACAGGGGAATCTTGTTATTGATCTCCAAAGAGAAGGGCTTCATGCCGAGGGCTAAATTTGGGTGTGTACCTCTGTGCATCCCATCCCCCAGCACTGTGAATTCATACTGCACTATTAAGTTCTGATTATTTATTTTTTTAATTTTTTTTTTTTTAAAGGACTTCTGTGAAGCTTTTACCTTCAAAGTCTAAAGCAAGTGTCACGTAATCCATTTTAATAAAGTTGTGTGTGATATTCTTTCAAATCCCTTCAGGTATAGCAGACCTGTTTATCTGGCTAAACCCGTTCTTTAGTAATCATGGACCACTGAAGTTGTTTTCTCCTTATTCTTAGTTTCTTAACAATACCTTTTAAAATTGGCTGCAGTCTCTCTCTCATCCCAACCAGTTCCCGCCCTTTTCAGCAATCTGTCATCTTAAAATAAAAGAGCCTGCAGCAAAGTTTGTCTGCCATTAAAAGTCAAGACAAACCGTATGGTTTACCTTTTGTATTGGAAAATCTCAGCCTTTTCACAGTATTTACTTAGCAGCCTTTCTCTTCTGAAAGGCTTTCACTGGGTTTAGTAGGCATTCTTTGAGAGCAAACCTAAGGGAAATGTTATTTTTGATAGGTGGAATGTAGGCTGTGGTCTTTTTTTCTTTTTTTTTTTTTCTTTTTTTTTTTTAATTCAGATCTGAACACACTGTCAGACTTCATAAATTACAATTAAATCAAACTACAGAAAATGGGCAAAAGAAAAATCCATTGCATTTTTCTTCTTGGGTGTGCCCAAGGTGTTTACCTTGCACCATGTCAGGTGGTATAAGCTGGTGCAGTTATGCTGATTTAGTGTAATTACACTGAACGTTTGTAGTTGATGAAGAATCCAATATTCACTAATGAGCGAAGCAAGGTTAATGTGTAAGGAGTACCTGGCACTGAAGCAGGTGTGTGTTTTTTTTGCCTGTAAGTAATGCTGTAGCACTTGTAAATTGTGAAGTAAATTTTAGTTGTGTGTGTTGGGTAACCCTAAAATTGAACATGAGCAAAGATTCTAATGCTGCAAAGTTACAGGACATTTTGTATCCATCTCCATGCAGTTCTGAAGCAGATGTCTGATACATTTTAATACCTCAAAACACTTAAGTGTGACATCTTACCTTGATATTATTTGTTCCTGAAACAGGTAAAATGGTATTCAGTATGCTAAGGTACCTGTTGGAGCATCTCTCAAAACAGATTGGAGATTTTGACCTTTTGAAGCAGGGAGTTTTCTTTTAAAACAACTTTACCTGTTAGTCATGGAACAAGTTTTTGTTTCATAACCAGCATTGTGCAACTACAGTATAGATCGGGGACAGGGTTGTGCATTTATTGCAGGCTGTCCAGCAGTAAAACCACCTTCAGGCTCTGGCATAGCAGCTATAATGTGCCAAATGTCACTGAAAAGCAGTTACTTGCGTGTTGTAGATAAACTTCAGTTCCTTTTCTGGCATCTGAGTATGTACACATATATATCAAGTACTCCCTTAGAAACAGCATTCCTATAACTTACCCTGTTAGATTTCTTAACGTTAAATATACTCACTGTGGAAGTTGAGCCTTTGATATTCACTGTGGGGAATACCTTACCTGGGCCCTACCTGTAACGCTGCAGAAGAGCTGTGGGCTCCAGGGTGGGGGTTTTCTTTTAGTATTTCTGTGAACAGCTGCACATTTCAGACTTGTGTATGGTTTTAAGAGGAAAATCTGTCATTGTTTTGAACACATCAAGGCACACACATTGAGGACACTTTCCAGCTGCATATTGGTTTTCCGTATACAGAGTCTTTGTACAGGCATGTTGTCTGGTCACATGGTGGGCTTGCCATTAATAGTTTCAAGCATTAACTGCAGAACTATTTCATCTCTATCTATAGATCTAGTTTGGTGATGGGAAGTGGAAGCTGAGATAACTGAAGAGAAATGGCATTTCTCTAAATGAGATCCACTCAAAATACTTCCACTGTTCCTAGTTATTTCAAATGTTTATGTAAGCATGGGACAGCTGCTGACTTGTGTGGTTCCTCAAGGTGTTAAACATCTTTATTTTAGATCTCTGCCTCAATAGATCCAGAATTAGGCGCTGATCGACATCAGTATTAGGACCAGTTGTGTGCAATAGACTTCCACAGCCCATAGGACTTGACACTCCCAGCTTACCATAGCTGTATGCGGATGCTTGTCAAAGGTGGTACCATACAGAATTGCCTGGGAGTTTGGGATGCCCGTTGTTCAGAAGTAAGGACAAGCAGTAGCTGGACTCCTGCTGCAAAAAAGCACCTTTTGAAAACATGTATTGACTCAATTCTGAGTCTTATGTGAGGGATTTCTCTTCTGGTGTACAAGTGGGGAGTGGAGGCCTCAAGATTCAGCTTTGCTCAGGGTTGCAGCATTCTGTGTACATAGCAAATCTCATCCTGGAAAAATCTTTGCATCATGAAAACAGCTATTAAGTAATACCTCTGTGCAGATTCTGCTGCTTTAACCTGCTAGATGAGTCACTTGCACAGACTATAGTTTAAGGAGGTGTCAGTAAATGCCATCATTGATAGAGACAATAAGGAAAAATAGAGGCAAGTTAAATAAAACTATTGACAAAGTGCATTAAAGTGCAGTGTTGCTAGACACTGCTGGAGAATATGTTGGTATCTTTTATTTATGAATTCTGCTAAATCCATTAGTTGCCTGTGTGAGAAATGGAAGTACATTATTTTCCTGTGCAAACCACAGTTTAA